GCTGTCCCCACCCCGGAAATTATGCATGTGGCAGCATTTGGCAGAAGGGCCTTTGCAGGTGTGATTAAGTTGAGGGTCCTCACATTGCGGGGCTGGCTGGGGTGTTCCGAGGGCCCCAAGTGCTGTCGTGTGTGCTTGGTCCTGGGAGGTGGCGGGTGACTGTACCCCAGGAAGGAGGTATGTGGGCAGCACAGAGGCCGCAACCCTCCCGTGGAGCCTCAAGGGACGCGGCCCTGCCACCCTCGGTTTCAGCCCAGGGACGCAGAGCTCAGGCTCACCCCAGGAGGGGGCAAGGGACCATTCTGTGTCCAAGTCCCTGGGCGTGGTGGCAGGTCACTGCAGCCGGAAGCTGACTCGAGGCGTGTCGCCCAGAAATCCCGTATGGGTGACATGTTCGTTTCTGCTGCTGCGTCGCAGGTCAGCACACACGTGGCCCCTTAAAGCCCCGTCTCGGTCAGATGCCAGCCGTGCGCCGCGTCCCTGCAGGGGGTCACTGAGCTGGCCGCACCCAGTTCTCACCTGAAGCCCGGAGTAAGCCACAGACACGTCCTTCGGGCTTTGGCAGAGTTCGGCTTCTCCGGTGCGGGACTGAGGCCTGCTTGGCCACTGGCTCTTGTGGCAGGAGCAGGGGGCGGGGGGGGGCAGCAGAGCCCCTGTGGCCCCAGCCTCATTGCCCCCTGAGCGCCGGCCACAGCGTCCACCACACGACCCACCGCCCACCACCCGCAGTCTGTCACGGGGCCCTCCCGCACGATGAGCCAGCGTGTCTTCGAGGTGGAGCCATGGGATTTATGGGCTAAAAGGCTATTTCCAAGCTGACGACAGTTTCGGAGCAACTTCTCCACAATAAACCTGCCTCAACCCCCAGGTCTTCTTTCTGCGGACGTGCTGCACCCTAAGCGTCTCCCAGGGACCCCAGCCCCTGCGTCTGAGTGGTGGCCCAGTCTGGGGCTGGGCGGGGTGGCCGAGGGAGGAGCCACCCACAGGCCTGGGGGGAGGTGCACATCCTCGGCAGGGAAGGGACCCTGGGTGTGACCTGGGGTGGGGGAGGCGTCAGTTCCTCAAGCGACACCCTATAGTCCCCGAGGCTGGAAGGAAACCAGCAGCTGGAGGGCGCACAGACCCTGCAGCTCAAGGCCCCACGTGGCTCCCAGTGCGGCTGGCCGGGCGCCAGGCTCTGACCAGGCGGCCTAACACGCCCCACAGGGACTCCCAGGCCACGTGGCCCTGGCATGTCCTGGTGCGCCCTGCCTAGCGCCCTCCTGCCCACGACTCCACGTGCCAACAGACCCCGACCTCGGCTCCCAGCCCACCCGCCCCCCAAACCCCCCCCCAAGCCCGCAGCGCCGCTGCCCACGGGCGGGACGGGGACCCTGAGCACCTCCGTGGTCCGGCCAGTCCTGGCACCAAGCAGTGACAGGGACACATCGACTGCTGGGAGGGGGCGCTGACCCAGCTCACGCAGAGACCGAATCCTCGGTGTGACGTTCACGTCGGCACAGCTGTAATTAAAACGCGTTTGGGAAGCACTTATTTGTGTCTAATTAGACCTTGTCGGGTTTCTATGGCGACCCCTCAGTCACAGCGCAGCTCGCCGTGCACACCGTCCCCTGCGGGCTGTGGACATGGACGGAGGGAAGGCGGAGGACGGGGCAGGCCGGGGCGGCTGCTCTGTTCCTGCAGTTCGGGGGTCACCTAAGAAACTTCCAGGGTGAGGGACAGCAGCCGAAGTCAGTTCCCCAAAAGGTCACCCAAGCCCGTCACGCACCTCCCCGCCATCACCCGCTGAGTGTCTCTCCTGGAGTCACTGCTGCCCCACTCGAGGGAGTTGCCTGGGACACACGAGCCTCCAGGATGATGCTGAGGGGACACACTCCGCTCCTCACAGTGACACTGCAGCCCCTGGAAAGGCCCACCCAGGGGGTCGACCGGGAGCAGAGCCTTCCCGGCACGCACACAGGTACACAGGTGCACACACTCGCATACACGTGCATGTGCACAAACGGGTGCACATCTGCATACGTGTGCGCAGACTCAAATACGCATGTATGTGCACACGGGTACCCATATGCATACACGCACACACGTACACATGCGAGGTATATGTGTGTGCATAAGCACATGTGTATGTGTGTGCACATGCACACGTTGCACATAAACAGGCATGTGTGCACACGGGCACACACGCGCACATGCACGCTCACATACAATGTGTGCGCAGGTACACGTATGCACGCACACTCGTGTGCATATGTGCACACATAGATACAGACATATACATGAGTGTTCACACGCACACTTGCATATGCACCTATGTATACACATGAACACACGTGTGCACTGTTACATACAGAGGCATGTGCACACTCAAATGCACAAATGTGCACATGCACACAGCTCGCATTCCCCACTGGACAGACTGCGGTCCCAGGGTGCACAAGGGACAGAGCCCTGGATGGACACCCAGGGTCAGCCCCACCCCCCGACCTGACCCATGCGACCTGTAGGCATCCCCCTCCTCCAGGGTCTCCACGTGGGGGCGGGGGCCAGCAGCTGAGCACCCCGAGCACCCCCCGCCTTGCCCGGCGGGTCGGAGGCAGCATCGCTGGCGCTCCCCTAGGAAGCCGCCCCTGCAGTAGCCGACGATGCCGGGACAGACGGGGGCATGCGGAGCAGGGCAAGGGATCGAACTGTCACTCTGCCATCGCCCACCCCAGACGGCCCGCACAGTGAGGCAGGGCCCCCCCCTGCCGTGGCACGCGTGATCTCCTCCAACGCCGGTGTGTAAAACCCCTTTCGTGCGCTGCGCCCCGCTGTCAGCGTGGGAAGGGAAGGCCACCTGGCCTGACTATCTAAGCGTCCGCATGAACCTCGTCGAGCCGGGAGCACGAGAGCGTTAGGAGCCTAACGTCATCTTTAGGGGAGAGGCCCGCCGCCCGCCGTTGGCTTCCCCGAAGCGAATGTCCCGTCTTTATCTGCGGCTTACAGGCTTGTCCAAATGGGATTAGAAAGCCATTTCGTGAAATGGAAACGGACAAGATTTAATGGAAAAACCAAAAGATGGTCCAAGACCCATTTTTCTTTCATGATATTTCTGGCGGGCAGATACTCCTGAATCACCGCCTGGGTCGCACCCCTGCCGGGGTTCCTCCCCGCCCTCCCGTCTCCCTCCCACGGTGGGACAAAGCCAGACAAACAAGGGGACCCCGGGGGGGGCAGCGTGGAGAGAAGAAAGGGCCGGCCACCAGCCAGCCCGGAAGCCATCACGCAATTGATCCACCAGTAAAAGTCACGTAACGGCTCTGCCGGGGCTTGATTGCCATGAAAGCCTTAGTCCTTTGCCCTGGAAGTCCGTCTGGGGTCATCTGGGGACCGAGCTAGGCATGCTGGAGCTGCCCCGTGGGACGTGGAGGCTGGCACGTGCCCAGAAGGGGGGCCTGTGGCGTGAGGGCCAGCCCCCTCTGCCCTCCGTCCAGTGCCCTGGCACCCCCAGGCCAGCCCCCTCCATCCAGTGCCCTGGCACCCCCAGGCTGACAGCCAGCCCTCACCACACACCTGCGGTCCGGCCCCTGGTGCCTCTCCCCCTTCCTCCTACTTTGCAAAGGGAGGAGACGGAGAATTCTAGAATCTTTCACTGTGGCTTCGAGGGAACCCTCAACTCACCCTGCCTGTGGCCAGGCTCTCCCCGCCCTCAGGCCCCTGACCTCCAGCCCCACTGCCCCAGGCCATCTGTCCCCGCAGGCTCCACAGCCACCCCCAGTCCGATGCGTCCTCACTGAGCCCGTCCGCCCCCTGTCCCCCAGATCTCCACGCCGGGGAACCCCCTGTCTTCCCTCCTTCCCCATATCACCAGGACAGGTTGGGCTGGGGACCCCCCCACACACACACCGGGGCCATCCAGGAGTCAGGAGGCTTCCAATCCAGGTGGCCTTTACACACCTAAAATAAACACTTCCTCAAAATATCTGTGTCCTCAGCAAACACCCAGAAGGAGGCAGGAGCCTGGTCCCCGCACCACCCCTTCATCGGGGCCACAGGAAGGCGACCCTGTCGCTGTGGGCTGCTGTCCACGTAGCGGCAGAGTTAACAGCAAAGGGCCGGGCGTCTGGAGCACGGCCGTCTGCCCGCCCTCGGCGTCCCCGAGCCCTCGGCGTCCCCAAGCCCACACTCCAGATGCAGGCGTCCCCCCAGTCAACGGCCAGGGCTCTGCGCTGGGGCTTCCGTGTCTGGTCGGAGATAAGAAGTCTCTGTCACCGGGCCCCACGCCCCTTAGAGTCACAGACACGCCTGGGTGGGCGGGACGGGGGCAGCCCCGCCCCTGGGGGTGAGCCTGGACGTCCCACGGTGTTCTGGTCAGAGGCGGCCAGGAGGCTGGAGGCTGGAGGCTGGGAGGGGCCCGCAGAAGTCTGACGCCAAAGGGCCGAGCTGGCCATGAGGAGGCTGCTAGGGGCTGAACTGTGACCCCATGGACACACGTTGAAGCTCTGACTCCCAGGCCCTCAGAATGTGACTGTATTGGGGACAGGCGTTCAAAGAGGTGACTGGGTTAAAATGGGCCCTTTAAATTGCGTCCTAATCCAGTCTCACTGGTGACCCTGTAAGAAGAGACTGGACACCCGGGGCCACGCGCAGATGGAAGGCCATTCGATGGCGTGGCGGGAAGGCGGCCGGTCTAAAGGCCAAGGCGCAAGGCCTCCGGAGAGCAGCCTTGAGCACACCTCAGTCTCGGCTTCCAGCCTCCAGGACCTTGAGAACGTGAGGTCTGTGTCCGAGCTGCCCAGTCTGGGAAGCGTCACGCAGCCCAGCACGCTGATGCGGACGCGTGCTGAGCAGAAAGGCTGGGGCCGGGCAGGGTGACAACCCTCAGCTCCTCAGCCTGGCTGCAGGGGCCCCAGCCCAGGCCCTGCCCCCTCACCATCCCCGAGCCCCAGCCCAGACCAGCCTCCACCAGCCGGGACCAAGCCCCTCCCTTCCCCAGCCCACCCCAAACCAGCCTTTTGCCAAACGCAGTCGATAAATTATTCAGTTTGCAAAATGCCATTATGTGTGAGTTTACTTAATTGAATAGAATAATTTATGGTAAAACCTGGGGAAAGAAAGATCGATGAGGAGAAGCACGGAAGAATGATGGAGTCTCGGCGAAGGCGATTCGGCTTTCATCCCTCATTATAATAATGTTAGGGGCAGCATCAGCTCGGGTCGGAATCGAGATCTGCAGAGCGGCCGGATTGTGGATTTAACTGGGGGTGGCCGGCGTGTCAATAATTGATGTCACGTCTGCCGCCACAACAGCGGCTGAGCTCGGGCACGGATGTCCCCACCCACAGAGTCGCTGGTGATCCTAAGAGATAATTTGGGAGCACGTCTGTCTGCGACACGTGTGTAACGCCGCCAGCAGGATTCAGGGCGTCATCACGTGTCGGCTTCCCCACCAGTCACCCCCGAGATCAATGGCACCAGGTCCCCGCGACGCTTCCTCAGCGCCTTGCGTTAGCGACTCTCGGAGCCCATGCCTGGCCAGGCTCTCAGGCCACATCCTCTTGACTGCCCTGCACCCCTGACTGGCCGGCCCAGCCCATGGCGGACACCTCAGGGGGACAAAGGCTCGGCCCCCTGCCAGGCCTGGGACCCTGCCAGGCACGCCACCTCTGCTTGGAAGCTCAGTGTCCTCACAGGGAGCAGAGCTGAGGCCTGGTGGCTCTGTGCTCTGTGGGGACCCAGTGGCCGGTGCCAGCTCCCCCTTACCGAAAGCCCCCCTGGACCTGACGTGCTCAACCCAGACGCTCGGCTCGTTCGTGTCCACGGGCTCGTGTGCACACACACCGGTGGCCCCGCCATCTGCAGAGACCTCTGGCTTCAGTCCTGCAGGTCCTGGGAGGAGGGGGCGCTCCTGAGGCCCCGGAGCAGCTCACCGAGCCTCGAGCCTCTTCCCCAAGCTTCCTGCCCCTCGGCTCAGGACCCCGCCTTCCACATCCCCCCAACACTCACCCATGCTGCCGGCTCCATGCTGGGGCTACATGCACATGTGGTCAGCATTGCCACCCCCGCTTGACAGACAAGGAGTCCGAGGCTCAGGGAGGTGGCGGGACCTGCCCGAGGTCACGCGCCCGGCGGCTGAGTCAGGCCCCGGTCTGTCCACGCCGTTTCCTGCTCTTCAGACAACTCAGCCGCCTCTGGGTCCGGCCTCAGTGCAGGGAAGGCAGACACCACATTGCAGCCTGGAGGCCTCGCGGGAGCCCGGGCACAGCCACGTCAGGCCCCGCTGGGGATCAGGGACCCCCTCTGTGAATGGGAAGTGGCAGCCAGCTGCTGGCCTTGGGAGCAGAGGGTGGTCCAGGGGCCTGGTTCACAGGGTGCCTTGGGCACAGCCCTCCCCTCTGGCCTGATTCCCAGTTTCTAGGACCCCTCCAAACTCTCCTGTCCCATGGGCTGGGCAGCAGGGGCGTGGGCTGTGGGCCAGGACCCACCCTCTCAAATGCCACCTCAATCGATAACACAGGAAACCAGAGTCGCTGCCCAGTGGGGAAGCTGTGCCCCCTGCGCCCCCCGCCCCGGCTTGCCAGCCGGCTGAGGCCAGCTCCTGCTCCCTCGAGACCCAAGTGGCCTGAACACTCAGATCCGCACAGACCCCACAAGCATCCTTCCCACTGATGCTTCTCCTGCAGGCTGAGGGGCCCCACGTCTGCCTCGTGTCTGAGCCGGGCCCCCAGCCCTGAGTCCAGCGGCCAGTAGCTCTAATTACCACTGGATGGGTGGGCGAGTGGGCGGTGGATGATCGAATGGCTGAAGAGACAGGTGGGGACAAGGAAGATGGACAGCAGACGGCTGGACACGGACCGGGGTGCTCGGGGTCGAGGAAACAGCAGAGGCAGGTTGGGGTTCGCGGAACAGCGAACGGACAAGGAGAAGGGGAGACGCTGGGTGGACGGGTGGGACGCGCACGGAGGTGGCCCCAGGACAAGGACCACCCGTGCCAGCTCCAGCGAGTGAGTGAGTGAACGAACGCGTGGGCGGGGGGACGGCGGCGGTCACCGGACAGCAGCTCCGCCCTCTCGCGCCGTGTTGAGACGACAGGTCCCTGAGGCCCGGTTCCCACAGCATCGCAGAGGAGAAGCTGGGGCAGACGTCGGGACCGGCAGCTCGGCCCGCGTCATCCGGTGGGACGGCGAGGCCCCGACGCAGAGGGTGTTGCTGTGCCCCACGCTGGCCCCTGGCCCAGCCCCGCGTCTGTCCATCTGCCGCCCCTACTGCAGCTCCTGGGGTCAGCCAGAAGCAGTGACCCCTCGCCCACCCTTCTCGCCCCCCAGGTCTCCGGCTCCAGGTGAGTGGGGCACCTGTCTGACCCCCAGAGTCAGGAGCGGCTGCCCCACGGCGAGCACCGCCACCGACTGACCAGCACTTCAGAATGTCAGCGAGGCTGAGACTCACCACACGGCCTCGTCCTCGTGGGGCGCTGGGCGGGCGGGCGGCCTATCTGGGGGCAGGTGTTAATAAAGGGGGCCCGGGTGTTAATAAAGGGGGCCAGGATGAGGGACGGGCAGAAACGGCCTGGAGAGAAGCTGGATGGAGCTCTGAGTGGAGCGAGGCACCCTCGGTCTCCCGGAGGCACCGTAACCCCCTAGACCAGAGGCTCCTGCGCTGGACGTCGGGTCTGCTGGGCAGAGCTCCTGGCCGCGCGTCCACGGCTGGAGGGGCCCATGCCACTCGGCGTAGGCCACGGAGAGACCTGGAGCCACGGACGCCGCTCCAGGATCAGGCAGCTGGTCCGCACCGGGAACTGACTCAGCAGACAGAAGCGACCCCAACGGGCTCAGCAGTGGCCGGGTCCTGAGAAACGGGCGTCTTTTTAAGTGAAATCTGCCTCGTGAGCCCGAGGACCCTCGGGCCTGAGGGCTGCTGAGAGACACCTCCCCGCTCCACTCCGCCCTCCCCAGAGGCCTGACAGGGGGACTCAGGGTGGCTGTGGGGCTGGGTGGAGGCCTGGGGAAGGGGGCCCAGGGAACACCCAGGTTCTGGGGGGCGGAGCTCAGGGGCGGGGGCCACACAGGGAGAGCCGGTTTGAAAGGGAGGGGGGCACAGGTCTGGGGGTCCAGAGGCCAGATGTGGGGCTCAGTATCTAGACGGCATTCGAAGCCACACGGCAGGAGCGAGGGGGTCGCAGGGGGAACGTGGAGGGAGA